ACTTTGTACATTCTTTGTTTAATTAATGAGAAAGATTATCCATCTTAATAATATATACTCAACTTTCGAACAGTCTTCGATCAGTTTATCTAGTTGAGTTAAGAGTAATAGCACAAAATAGCAAAAGACCGGTTGTAAATTAACAAATTGACATATACCTTTTATGCGTCCTAGCATCAAACTAATTTGCCACTTTTTTGCCTTTCTTTACCCTCACGCGCACTTCTTTACTCAGATAAATTTTTTTTTTTTCTTTCAAATCCAAAATCTAACGAAGGGGTGCGAACCAATAACCATTTAGTTGCAACTTTAACTATAAACGTTGTAACTTTTTTTTGTGCATAGTAAATAGAGCGGCATATTAAAAGCACCCTTCAAGCTTTCACGGAGCCCTATACAATCCATCGCCGCTTCAATTTCAATCTTCTCCGATACTCCCAAAGCAAAATAAACTCCCGAAAACGATACAAAGCTTGAGAAAATTATCGGCCGTAACCAAAAGAAGTCAGCCATCCTCATGCCGGCAGTTGATTACTCAGGTAAACCCAACCGCCCTATCTACGGGAGCATAATGCTTCGCCGTTTCGGTTTTCGCACATAATCTCCCCCTTATCCTGCTTTTTGCTTTCACGTAACCCTATAGCACATCTTCGCCGTCTGAGTTTTTTAATATACAGATACCACCAAAGCGAAACATATACAAGGGAACGAAACAGAGACAGAGGTAATTAAGTTTGTTTGCCGGAGGAATATAGCCGGCAGTTGATTATTCAGGTAACCTCCTTCGGTCGGTTGTGTACGTTATTTCCCACGTTTTTGCACTATTAATTTTGACTCCAAATCTTTAGTCAAATCTTTTTCGGATGATTTGCCGTTGTTTCAATCGATAGTGGGAAGTGATTCCCCATTTAGATTGTTTTTCAATCTTATATTTTTCAGAAATATCACCTAAGTGTCAAAATATTAGGTCTCGAAACCAGATCTTCAACAATTCAAACAAAATCTTAGATCTCCAAACCAGATCTTTACATGCATATATGCACATCCGCTCCGATGGTTAGCTAGAAAAGCTTTGGGATCTCGACTCTTCCGGACAGGTAACTTCATTATAAACCCGGGTAGCCCTGTATCTTATGTTATAGATCTCCAACAATGTAATCAGATACCCGGATATATGGATGTCTAAGTTTGAGTGTGTGGCCTTATAAATCAGTATGCGGATGTCATTTTGTAGGTGGCTGTGACTTCAATAATCAAAAGCGAATTCGATGGAACCCCCCAAAGTGCCTTCGCATGGGCCGATGAAGTAGATGACCCCAAGGTGGATCACATGGAGATGCTATCTTCACCTTGCAGTCTTGTTTGTTCTTGAACACATGCCCCAAATACAGCTCATCTCCCTTATATGCCACATCCAATATGACATTCTCTGTTTGATCCAATCCTGAGAAAATCCGTCCATCAAATACATTAGATGTCTTTAACTTTTTTTACTCTTTAATGTAATGTTCTTTTAGCAGCCATTCAGATAATTGTCCATCATATTTAATAACACTTCACTAATATTAATAGACAGCTATATAGCCTCATATACTAACATATATTATAGTTATAGGAGCAACATAAAATCTATGAAATAAAATATCACACTATAATATAATTTACGGGCACACGATCAGCTGAATAAATATAACAATCTATGGAACAACATAACTTTTGAAAACGAATATAGCACTCCATTAATTTTAATAGACATCTACAATACACTTATACCATTACAAATCCCTATCATTTTCAAATAACCTGTTACAAGTTTATATCTGGCCTGCACCAAGTTTATATCCATCCAGCAACACAAATCGCCACTCCCCCCCCTGCATCTTTCATCCACCACCCATGTACTGCTCGCTCCAGATCGCTGAGGTCTTTCCAGAGCTGCACCATTGTTGATAACCCCTAACAATGTCAGTTTTACGAGAATGTTGTTATTAATAACAATAACACTTCAAATTAATACATAGATATTCATAAACGACATGCTCGGATTCAGAATATACATTTACCTGATTAATTCGGTTGTAGCGCTATATGAAATTACGTGATCTACCTCGTACACTAACCACCCATCATAACAAATAACCCTCCAAATACGATAATAACTCTCCATCAATGTTAGTAGTCAACTATAATACTTTGTAAACTTATATTTTACTCACTATACTCATGTATCATTATAAACCCCTATCATATCAATTATAATATATATATATATATATATTTGCCACGTATACAAATATGGAATTAGAAGCAGGAACTAGTACTTATGGACAGTTCATAAACCTAGGTGTGCCCATATATTTTAGTTTTCCGCTCCGTCCATCGAAATTTCTTGTTGGAACATTACATATGGCATTAACTCTCCATCACCTCCGTCCGTAACATGCTTACGTAAGGCGGCGGCGAATCTGTATTGTCTCCTCATTTAATATCAAGCCCAATGTCAGCTTTAATTGAAACCATAAATGTCCACATATCTAATTCATTCATCAGCTTGCCCACGCGCACTCGATGGCAATAGACGTAAATAAACGAAGTCTCGAATTACTGTTCGTCATCCTTTAGCTTATTCTTTCTAGCTCATTTGGGTTTTGCTATTTATCTAATAAAATCCCCATCCTTTATCATCCACCTCTTTATCCCTTGAGTTAAACTCTCTATCAGCTTGTCTCGCTTAACTAGCTAGCTCATCTAAAGCTGAAGTCCAGTTGGCTCATTTTTCTTATTGTGACTAAGCTATTTGGTCATTTTCTTGATAATAACTTAGTCAATTGACCATCGTTTCCTTCTCTACTTAGCCTCCAGATCCGAATCACTTGATCACTATAGTGATTACTATAGATCAGTCGGTTATTAATTGGTTATCTACTTAATTATTTGATTTAGTCGATCACACAATATTCCATATACTATATATAATCATTCAGCCGTCTGTTCACTAAGTTTTATGAATCTTTTTTTTGATCATGACTTGTTCTTGAAACATTCACATAATCCTAAGCAAATCGTCCAATATTATTTGGATTAGTCAAAATCCACATTGATCTGACTAGATTTATCTGGTTATCCCAAAATCAACATTGATCCAACTCGGTTATCACTCACCCAATTCATCTGTTTATCTTCATGTATTTTTTTTCTTTGGTTTACTCATTCCTCAATCCCTTGGCAAGAATACATTTCTCTTCCAAACAAACTGATCCTAACACGAAACATACATGTCGCATAGTTCTCTGGATTGGATGATGATGGTTGAGGGTGTAAGCATTCTGATTTTGCCAATAACTGAAAAATAATCCCTTCATGTAAATCATTCTACAGTAAAAGTTCTATAAATTAATAATATTGAGACTTTAATATTTTTATTAATTTATAAATTTATTAATATATTAGCTTTAGATAAAATAAATTGTTTATTAAAAATTATTTAAAAATAATATTTTCTTTAAATTTGTAATATTTTTTAATTTTTTTTATTATAAAATTATAGATAAATAATAAAAATATTTTAATTTTAAAATGAAAAACAACAATATACTCATATTTTAATAGATTATTATAATAATATACTTATATAAAATTATTTTATATAATGTATATTAATTTTAATATTAATGGGGCTATATTTTATATAGGATTTTAAAAAAAAATATTATTTTATTAATTTATCAATTTGTATTAAATTTTGAACTAGTCCAACTTGAAATTGAACAAAATTATTAATTTATTAAATTTATTGATTTATCGAATATTTATTTATAGAATTTCTACGTAGATTTTTTGATATACGTCATCACAATAGCTGTTGGGACCCATTTTACCGAGTCGAAAGAAAGCTCAACACGTATATCTAGACTGCACTGGATGCTGACACACGCCACGCTAGCTCGGTCAACCCACTCCCGCGTATTATACCGGGGCAGTTGGCAGATTTCTCCAAACACACCAGAATCATTACTTCCACCTGCTCCCCGGTGCCGCATGGAAGGGACAGAACAAAGGGACCACAAGTATAAATAGGAGGCAAACCTTTTGAGAGGGGGGGAAGAGAGAGAGAGAGAGAGAAAAGAGAAAGAGAGGGCATCAGCCGATATCTAAGGTAGTCGCCCCGGCCATGCAGCAGGACACGGGTGAACTTCATGTTCTTCCCGGGTGAATGCCGACCAGGTTAAGTCATTTCTAACCCGGAATCTCGCCTTTGTATCCGCTTCGTTTCTCCTTCGATGAGTAGGAATTCCCTTTGAAACACCCAAAAGCAGATAGAAATATCGATCCCCGGACGAGACTTCTCACAATTAACCTGTAGAAAATTTCTCTTCCGAGTACTTGTTCCCGGTAGGATGTCCACTGACTTGGGCGTCGGAGAACCTTCGGGAGAGAAGCCCCATTTCGATCCTCCAGAAGGTTCGTCTGACGTTTGCTTAAATGTTAACAGGACCGAGCACGACGTTCATCCCATCGCCCGGGACAAGAAGCTTCCGCTCCGGAACGACGATTCGCCGCCTTTTCTCCTAGAGGACGAAACTCGGAGGCTCAGCTCTAACCCCGACGAATCACACACCCCCACGTAGCATCATGAAATTTGCTCCCAAACAATAGCATTTTTTTTTTGTTTTGGTAAATCAGCGGATTTTCTTTCAAAATAGCATAGTTTAGGTCTTTTTATTGCAAAACGAATATTTTGGGTACTTTTCAGAAATATCCCCCAAACTAACTGTTACACTCGAAGGAAAAAAAAAAAAAATCTGAACCATTAAGATATTCGCAGAGTCCTGTTCTGACCTTGCCTCTATGGAAGCTCAAGTGTTTCTTCTTCCATTATCAAAACCCTAAAATACTTTTCAAATTGTTCCTCCGATTTCGTCGTTACACTTTTTAAGTTCGTCGGTACTATATTCGCTTTAGCGTTTGTTCGATTCGTTTGAAAAATATCTTAAGGAAACATGATTCGCGGCGCTTCGATAATAATCTTATCTCTGTTGCTAATTTCGCACTTGGCTTCTGCGAAAGTTCTGTTGATCGGGATGAACACATCTCTCTCCTTCGACGATATTCAAGCCAATTTCAGTAAGTTCTCTCACTTACTGTTGCATCGATTCATTTTTTTCCTCTCGATCACTATAGAAAATTCAAAGTCTAGACAGAAATAGTGGAAATCACTGATTAGGGTCGGATCGGATTTAGGAAATTGGAAAGTTTTGGTGCTAAAATCCCAATGATGGTTTTGTTCGAAAATTTTCCAATTTAGAATTTCAGAAAATTGGGTTTTATCAGCTTTTTAATAGTTTTCTTCACCATGAATGTTTGATTTCAGCTCCGTTTGTAATGTTGAAGTTTAAAGTCTATGATTACGAAGCTGTTGAATCACTGATTAGGGTTGGATCGCATGTAGGAAAGTGGGAAAATTTGTTGCCAATTCCAATTATAGTTTTGTTCGAAATTTTCCAAATTAAATTTGAGAAATTGAAGTTTATCAGCTTTTGTAATGGGTTTCTTCACCATGACTGTTTTCTTTCAGCTCCGTTGATTAAGAAATCGGATCAATGTGGGGTATTATACGTAGCAGAGCCGCTCGATGCTTGCTGGGATTTGGTTAACACGGTGACTGTTGAAGAAGGATCACTTGTTTCTCCTCCGTATGTATTGATTATTCGCGGTGGCTGCAGTTTCGAAGACAAAATCAGAAACGCGCAAAAAGCTGGATACAAAGCTGCTATTGTCTATGACAATGAAGATTATGGCTTTTTAGTATCAAGTAAAAACACATCTTCCTTTGCTTTTTTCATCATAGTCTCTTAAGCTTTATTTTGTTTGGGATCATTTGGTACAACATAGATGTGTTATAGTAATTAACCGATAAAAGAAATTTAGGAATGTGGTGTAATTACATGAAGGAAGAAGCTTGTTCTTAGTTTTCCATGGCTAGAGCAAGACCTATTCCTGAGAGATAATTAGAATAGCCTTTAGGAAAACACATCTCCCTCGCGTCGTAATCTCTTAAGCTTCGTATTATTTCTTGTTGCTTGGGATCATCGGGTACATCAAAGATGTGTTACATTTATTGATAAAAGAAATCTAGGAATGTGATGTGATTAGAGGAAGGAAGAAGCTTGTTCTTAGTGTTTTATGGCTAGAGAATGATCCTATGCCTGAGAGTTATTTAGAATTGGCATTAGGAAATCGAGTTTGGGAAAGGGTAATTTGATTCGGGTGTGCTCTTGGCATCGATTTTGTTGTTCTGTTTCGAACTTGAAATAATACTGATGACTAATGATCTTGTGAACATAATCTCTTAACCTTTGTATGGTTTCTTGTTGCTTGGGATCATTTGTGTACAGCATAGATGTGTTATAGTACATTAATCGATAAAAGGAATTTAGGGAATGTGATGTAATTAGAGGAAGGAAGAAGCTTGTTCTTAGTGTTCCATGGCTAGAGCAAAGACCTATACCTGAGAGATAATTAACATAGACATTAAGAAATTGATTCAGCGTGTTCATGGCATTGAGTTTACTGTTTTGTTTCGAAACTTATCATAATAGTAGCTATTGCTAATGATCTTGTGAACATAATGTAGTAGAAGGAAGAAGCGTCTTCTTAGTGTCTGTGGCTCAAACGAGACCTACGCCTGAGAAATAACTAACATAGGCATTAGGAAATTGATTCAGCGTGTTCTTGACATCGAATTTGTTGTTCTGTTTCCGAACTTATCATAGTAGCTTTAACTAATGATCTTGTGAACCATAATGTAGTGGCAGGGAGTCCATCTGGTGTGCTTATCTACGGGACGTTTGTATCAAAATCAACCGGAAAAGTACTCAAAGAGTACGCGGGTCGTACCGATATGGAACTATGGCTCATACCAAGCTTCGAGACCTCTGCATGGTCGATCATGGCTATCTCATTCATATCTCTACTAGCAATGTCTGCTGTGCTCGCCACTTGCTTCTTTGTTCGTAGGCATCGTGTTAGGCGCAGGCGAATCAGGTCTCTTACTAGCAGTGAGTTTCCTCGTATGGGCGTAAGATCGATAAGAAGCATGCCAACTACGATATTCAACGGCGTTTGTGAAGAAGCATCAACTTCTATCTCGTGCGCTATATGTATTGAGGACTATCGTATTGGAGACAAGCTAAGGATCCTACCTTGTAATCACAGTAAGTAGTTTTGACTCACTTCAAGTTCAGAGTAATAAAGAATTGGTTGGTGCATAAACATTCTTAAGTGGTTGTTGTTGTCTTCTTTGCAGAGTTTCATGTTGTATGTGTGGACTTGTGGCTTGGCCAAAGGAGATCCTTTTGCCCGGTTTGCAAACGCGACGCAAGAACCATCAGCATCGATATGCCGACTGCGTCAGAGCACACGCCTTTGCTTTCTCCTAGCTCGACCCCGTCGTCTTCTTTTCTCTTGTCGTCACTCTCTTCAACCCCAATGCAGTCATCTTACGATCTACCTTCAACTTCCACCACAATGCTGCAGCCACACACGGTCCCTATGTATCTCTCACACTCTCACTCCCAACAGAGCTTCCAAAACGGGTCATACCGACGTTCCTTGCCTATACCGGTTAGCCGGAGTTCGGTAGAGCTCAGAAACGCGGTTTCCAGAGGATCTTACAACTCACCTCGCTCTGTTCACGCAAGATATACGCTCAGAGTTAGCCCGAGTATCGCGTCAGGGAGTTGGGTTGTTGGGTCGTTGTTAAGCCAGCGGAATCATTCGGTTCACCTAAATGACTCGCACTCGCGCAGGTCTCTCTCTCACTTTGCATCTGCAAGCTCTCTACCAGACTGCTAAAACCGCTAAAAGGTAACAACAAGACTAACCAAAAGGTTCAGCGTTAGGGCTCATTGCTTTGAAGACGCAATCAAGCGAGGAGGATCATCCCTCGGCTATGATCTTGTTCTGATTTGTGACAATGCCCTGATTTTGGGAAACATTAGAGGCGAAAAGAGTGATCAGTGTGACTGTGTGAGTGATATTCTTCAGCTGTACAGTATTGTGGAGAATGATGAATGTGAGATGAGTGAGTTTGGAGAGAGTAAAGCGTCTTTATGGTGATATCATTAACGTAACCATTGAGTTTGGATATACTCATATAAGTAACTAAATAGATTCCTTCGGTATATAAGTACACACATACGCTTGGATTAGCTGATGCTGATTAAAAATGAAGGAACTCTTGTTGTATTAGCCATTGTCATAGACTGAAGTTTGAACATATTGCATCAGAGTTTAACTAGAGAACAATCTTTTTTATTCTACAAGAATTCGATTCAGTTCAAATGCGGAACATCGAAAGATAACTGTTATGATCAATGATTATTTGGAATAGGAGAAGCATAACTGTTCTTTCATATATGAACCATAAACCTTGGTTGTGCTTCTTCTTCACTGTGATCTCTGGTTCTAAGACACTTTTATAATAATTTGGATTTGAACATATCCACATTATGTTCCACATGGTGTACTAGTGTGAAACCTGCAAAATACATACAGGACTTCTCAGATTAAAACTAAAGAAAAAAGTTGATAATGCAGCCATGAACATCTTTTTTTGGAAAATTTCATAATGCAGTATGTAATATCTGTTTTCAGCTATTCAAATATTTAACATGTTTGATGAAACCTTTCCATGAAAATCAACATAATAACATATTTTGAGGTGAAACTTAACGCACATTGACACAAAGACTAAACAGACATACCAAACGAAAGAAACAACACGTTATCTAACCACTAATCATCCTTAAGCCAAGAAAAATTCTCAATACAAAGATACCTGATCAGTGTATATAGAGGACCGTATGAGTTATAATGGTGTGGTTGTCGCAGACTCAGGCATAGAACCTCGCCGAAGCTCCTTCACAACAGCAGCTAGAGCCTCCGAGTTAACACCAAGATCACAAAGTGCTATGAGAACCGAGAAAGTGTGCCGGTCTAGTCCAGTTTCCAAGATGTTTGACATACAAAACGCAAGCTCTAGCGACTCTCTTGCAGTCCGAGATGCCTCCTCTTCCATACTGATCAGTCCACAAGTTGACATTAGACAAAAGAAAGATTTATCTGCTAAATTTTAATCAGATAAGCTTCAATATTTTGCAGCAGCTACCCAAAGGCTCTTAAGGTGATTTTGACACAAGAAGTAATAAAACATTGCTTCGAACTTCACAGAGAAACTGGGGCATATATACACAGAAATGAAAATCTTCAGACTAGTACTAGAACAACAAAAACAATGCTAATAATAAAATAAAATAAAATAAAACCTTTATAAGCTAAAGACTCAAAAACTGAAACACACATCAGATCTCTAACTCTCTCTTCTCCCCACTAAGCTAAAGAATCAAATCCACAATTTTTAGCCTGATACATAATTCACACACAAGGTTAATTCAAGTTTACTTCAGTGCCCAGTAAAAATTCAGCAAAATAAAGAAACAAGTTTCTGAAACATTGATGCAAAAGATATGCAGAAACATTCAATACTAACCCCTAATCTCCATGGAACTGAGTATCTAAGGTGAAAAATTAGGGTTCCAATTAAACTAAAACATGACATTAAATTTCAAAATTTTCGATTTTTCCAGAGTAACAAATTGAAGAGTAATCTAAAACATAATCAGAATGTACTTTGGCATCGACGCACTTCCGAAAATGGATTAAGAAAACTTACTTGTAGTCGATTCGAAACGAAAACACACGAAGGATTGAGAAAGTGAGATTAGTTCTTTGAGGAAAATCGAAGAAGCTAAACTGAGAAGGGGAAAGGGAGACCGGACGAACAATTCCTAAAAAGTGGAAAAACCTCAGGTCCTTTACAATTTTGTATAAATTTTTCGACTTAATAGTTTAATTATTTTCTTAGGAAAAAGCACACTTTTTAAAATAAAAAAAAGTAATTACACTAGATAGATTCAAATAATTTCATAATTAATCAACAGGTTTTTCTTCTTTCTTTTTGTTACTGTGTATTTTCAAAAGATAATATAATTTTTATTATAGTGTTTATTTTATCTTTCTTTTTTGATTTTTCATCTTCTTTTTCTTTTTCCTCTTTTCTTATACCACGAATATAAATATCATCAATAGTGGATTATTAATAATGGTGGTGATACAGTACCAATGATACAGGAGGTAATGGCAATACCGGTGGTGATAGCGATAATTGTGATACCGATTGTGGTGGTAGTGGTGGAGATGTCGGTGGTGGTAGTGATGTTGGTGATGACGGACCGGTGATGATGGAAGTGATGACGATGCCTGTGGTGGTAGTGATGGTGGTAGTGTCAGTGATTGCGATGGTGGTGGTAGTGCCGGTGGTGGTGGTGGTGGGTATATGTGGTGGTGTGATATATCTTGTATTTACATCATTTAGACTTGCATTTAGTGCATATTTTAGTTATCTTTTGCATGTTTTCCTTATCCTTTGTCTCATTTTCTTCTCTTTTTAGACTTAGATTGCATTTAGAGTGTAGTTTGCATTTTCTTTGCATAAAAGATGTTTACAGGTACTCATTGAGCTACAAGGAGCATGGGAGATGATGGTGGGTGCAGCACAAGATATGATAAGAGCCAAGAAGAAGGTGCACCTTGTTGAAGCGGCCAGAAACTTTACCTGAAAAAACTGGCTCGGACAAAGCATCTCCAACACGATTCAGCTTCAACAGTCTTCACCAATGTTGTAGACCCGTGAGTTAGCTTGCGTCTGGAGTTGGTTTAAGGTCATTCCCATCAGTGGTTAGAAAGTTACAGAAGTTTTCGTGAAAACCGCTCAACCCCTATCCGTCTGTGCACGGAGGCTATCGGCCAAGGAGTGACCGATACAAAATTTTCGGTCAGGAGCATCGATCAAGGAGTGACCGATACAAGATTTTTGGTCAGGAGCATCGATCATGAAGTGATCGGTATAAAGAGCATCGATCATAAAGTTAATTTCGGTCACTGTATCGATCACCTTCCTGACCGATAAGATTCATATCGACTGAAGATCAGCTGAGATGAGGTGTTTGCATTCCGATTTGGCTTCGGCGTCCTTCATTAACTTTGTAGCCACTTGAGTTAACTTTCGTTTGGTCTTAGTTTCGAGTCATTCCCATCAGTGGTTGAAGAGTTACGGCGAATAAAGTGAGCACATGTCCATCTGAAGTTTTTGCCGTTGATCTTGACCGACTTGAAGATCAGCTCGGACGAGTAGCTTCCGTTTCTATTCAGCATCTTCACTCTTCATGAAAGTTGTAGCCACGTGAGTTAGTTTTCAGGAGGACTTGGTTTCAGGTCATTCTGATATGCCGTTCAACAAATATCGCAATTTTCGTGAAACCGCTCAACCTGCATCGACCAGCAGAAGCCTATCGATAGGATTTACATCGATCAACACTGATCGATGCAACTGATTGATGTGACCCCAGACTGAAGACCATTTATTTACAATTTTGACATTTTTGCTTAGACTCCTATAAATACTTGAAATCCCTGATTTCTGGGAACACATCTCTTTATCCAGCAGTCTCTTCTTCTTTGTTTTAGGTTTTTGGTTTTTGGTTTTGTAATTTGAATTTTTGTTTATTTCAATAAAAGTTTGCATTTCTCTTAATCTTTTGTCTTCCTAATCATGATTAACTATTTTTTCTTCATAGATTTGATAATTTTCACCATGATTAGTGAGTAGTTTGCTTTAGGTTAGAGATTATGGCAGATGGGGTGATTTTAGTGATTATTTAGGTTGATTAGGGCTTAGATCTTCTCATTCCCTTTCTTATATGATTGTGCTTAATGCTTAGTACCTCTTTGTTGGAGAAGTTGATTTTAGATTTTCACATGCACACCAAGTGTTTGATGAAATTCCTAAATGAAGTTCAATGCTTGAAAATGGTGTTTTGATAATCATGAGTCTTTGCATCTATCATTTCTTGCTTGAATGTGCTTATTGCCTAGTACCATATTGATGAGAAATTGCCTTTAGACATTGATTATGCATGAGAATGTGAGTTGATGTTTGATATATCATATAAGAGATTAGTAAACCTAGCCTAAGAGATTAGATGTCTAGCATGCTAATTGGTTTTATGGAACTTGATTTTAATGCTTGATGATTATGTGTTTGAGTAAAGAGATTTATCTTGAATATGTGATTAAAAAAGGGATTAATGCCAAGAGATTGGATTAGTCTATATTAGTGTTCCTTACCTAAGGTTGAGTGTTTAGAATTGCTTGTTTTGATCACCCTAGACAAGAACATGAATCACCTTATCACCATGGCCTTGATCTTGAACCATCTTTTAATCTTTGAAGTTTAGTTTTACCCTGTTTTAGTTCAGCTTTGACTGTGTTTTTGCTCTATTTCCTATTGCTTTTATTGCTCTTTGCTTGCTTTCTTTTGCTTCTTTGCTTGCTCACTTAGGTTGTTAGAATCAAAACCCCTTCCCTATTAGCTTAGCTTAGCATAGTTCTCTATATCTCAATTGCCATTAGCTTCCCGAATGGATTGACACCTCAAGTACTACAATGACATGTGTGTTTGAGGATTGATCTAAGGATTAAAAACCTTAACATCAATTGGCGCCGTTGCCTCTTGGGATTGTATTTAATACATTTGAGATTGAGTTCTTGCTTAGACTAAGCATTTATTTCAATACTAATTTTCATTTTCTTTTGTTTCTCTTATAGGTACAATGTATTACCCTCAAGCTTACTACCAAGGCTCTTCAAGTGGCTTCAACCAAGGGTCTCTGAAGCTTATGGTGCTGCTTATCACAGCAGTTATGGAGACCAGCACCAGCTTTCTGATCCCTGCC